GAATGAAAAAGATGGTAATCTGATGATGCCACATCTGGAGAATATGGTGGGTGAGGGAGAACTTCCCAACCCAACTCCATAATCATGTGTTGTGTCAAACTTGCCACATGTGGACGTGCATTGTCATGGAGAAGAAGAACACCTTTCCAATTGATGAGTGAAGGGCATTTCTGATGAAGGGCTTGATTTAAACGTTATAGTTGCTGACTATAGATTTCTGCATTGACAGTTCGCTGTGGATTGAGGAGTTCGATATGAATTACTCCTTTGATGTCCCACCAAATGCGAAGCATCACTTTCTGTGGATGGAGTCCAGGTTTTGGGGTTGGAAGTGGATTTTGTCTAGGACTGAGCCATTGTTTTTGGCATTTAATATTTGCATAGAGAATCAATTTTTCATCACCGGTGACAATTCTGTCCAAAAAATGGTTCACGCACATTACTCGCCGGAAGAGATGAAGCACCGTTCACACATTGGAAACGATGATCATTAGAGAGTTTGTGAGGCACCCAAACATCTTCTTTATGGAGTTTTTCCCATATTCCTTAGATGTTTACGTATTGTTTCAAGAGAGACGCAATTTCAGGGCCATTTCACGAGTATGTTGCCTTGGGTTAGACTCAACAAGCATCTTCAAAGTATCAATTTCAACATGTTGGCCCCTGCCATCACAATTTTTAAGGCTAAAGTCACCTGAATGAAATTTTCTGAACCATCCTTAAACACTTATGAACATTCAAAACATTTCCATAAATTTCTTTGATATTCCTTGTGGCTACAGAGGTGTTGTTTCCCTTCTTGTATTCAAACAGCATTACATGCCAATTGTGTGTCTCATCATGTGCCATCACTATAGCCCCACATTGGCACAGCGGTATGTCTGCGGATTTACAATGCTAGAAACCGGGTTTCAATACCCGTGGTGGGCAGAGCACAGATAACCTATTGTGTAGCTTTGTGCATAACTACAAACAAACAAAGTCATCAATATAAGGGATTAGAGTATACTAAACTTTACGCATTATATAGGCTACACTAACGTGACGTTTAGGTGGTTCTTTTAACTATTATACATGATGTATGTTTTTTGGGGGGTTTGGGGTTAATAGAAAGTGTTCCTAAACGTAGACTATTAATTTCTTTGACGAGTTAATTATTTCTTGGGGAAATTATTACAGAAAACAAATTTAAATTCCTTGTTGCTTTTACCTAAAAGAATTGAGAGTAATTTTAGGTCTAAATTATAAGATCCTATTCAGCAGTTGTTTACATAAAATTAATATATTAAACATGTATTAAATACTTGAGTATTTTTATGTATACGATAAAAATTGAAATAGTTAATATATTTAGATTTGTAAACCTATTGAAAAATAAAGAAATTTATAGTTATGAAACCAAGATTAATAGAAATTAACATATACCACTGTTTAAAAATACTTAATTTTTAAATGTATTCAAAAATAACAGAAATTCATAGTTATGAAATAAGTATTAATACAGATTTATATATACCACTGTTTAAAAAACAAAAGGTAAACAATAAGTAAAAATATAGCATAAAATATCTAATAATATAAAAGATAAAGAAATTTAAGTTATACTTATATACTAGGTATTTAAGTGTAGATATGTAATTAAAAACTTGTTTTGCATAAAACTGATCAGTAATATTTATAATCAAAAGCCATTAATTTCCCCAAAAGGGGCCAAAGGCTACCTGGAGGAGTCGCCTGTTTTTATTCCTGGCATCACTATAAAATAGTATTTTGTTTGTCAGTCAGTCACAAGACACTAAAATGACGTCACTTAAGGGATGCTTAATGTTGCAATTTATACTGTCGTGACATCAGTAAAACATGCACATTCCATCTTAATTTCTTCTGTTCCACATTTTGTTAATGGGGTGGGGTTGACCGAACCTCCTGTTTTTGTGATGTAAAACAATTATGCTTATATAGTTATAGTGCAGCTGTTTATGGTATTTAACGTTTTCTACATTATTCTGATGAAGCATTAGCATTTATTAGCTTGAAATAGTCGCATGCAGTGGCTTCTGTTAACACTTTGTAATTGGAAGCTCGAAGTTATATTGCTACAGTTACTTTTTGTAGGTTGGATTTTTTGCAGTAGGTGTGTGATTTATTAACGATAAATTTCAACATAATGTAGTATATAGATAGATTATTCAAGATCTTGTTTTTGTCATCTTACGCCTTTTAATGAAGATGGGAACATTGACAGGGAAATAATATAATAGCTAATGCTCGGTGATAGGTTTTCGATTATAAAATTTTGTTGTTCTCGATTTTATTTTTATTTTATTACCTTATTTCCATAGTTACTATTTGCAAATAGTCAATAATATTTTAGGTCCATTTTATTGTTCTTTCTACGCGCCGTTATAACACATTTTCATCTCATCATTTAATTTCTGTTGTGCATATATTGTTGTATAGAAGATATTTTAAAGTGATTCATTAGGTGGAAAACGAATAGATAGATAGATAAACTTATATGTGGCGCCATCTAGTGTACCTAAATTCATCTAGAAATTTTAATAAAATTGACCCGAAAAACAGGACTAACTCGGTAACCCCAGGCCCAATTTTAACGAAACTTGTTTTATACTGTTTCTATTCTCATTTCATTACAAATATGGCGCTATTGTGTGCCGTTTTTGCTGTATTTCATTAGTGACCCGAAAAACGGGGCTAAAACTCGGTAACCCGTGGCCCGATTTTAACGAAACTTGTTTTATTCTGTTTCTATTCTCATTTCACTAGAAATATGGCGCTATTGTGCGCCGTTTTTGCTGTATTTAATTACAGACAAGCAAACAAACAATCTCGGAGTTTTAGTAGTATATAGATGTCTTGATTACGTTTACACTTTAGTTAAGCAATACATTAAACGTAAAACTAAAAGTGCAATGTATCGTAGTGAAAGTAGCTTTATTTTGGTACTATTTTTATTTTCGTCACGGCGCAAGTAAACGTTGATTTTAGGTGTGTGGGTAGGCGAAAACTTTTCTTAGCGGGACGCTCAAAACGCGTTCTTTGAATGTATACAAAGATCACAGACTGACAGTAACAGTGTCACATTTAGGCAGTATTTTTCGTGATTTTAAAGTTTCGTATCTTCTTAATTTTTTGAGCGCCATTTAATTTTGATATTTCTTGAATACATCACATCTTTCTGAATCAGTCTTTCATGTGGTAACTATATTATACATTAAAAAAAACAAATAAAAATGGAAAAGTTTGATTGAATTGCTTGAAAATTCTGATAATTGTAGCAGAAGAAAGAAATATTTAGTTTTAATTTTATATCAGTATATTATTAAGAAAGACCTAAATAGAAATGATCGATTTAATTTTCACATCTGTTAATCTGCTATAATATAACTATTAAAGATTAAACATCATTATCAGGCCCTGATTTGCACGCATGGCCTGGGGACCCTTATATTTTTTAAAATTAAAGGCCCTATTTTCCATCCTAAATAGTAAATTGTAAAAAGGTGAGGTCACATCTTCTGTTTTAACGCTCATTTTTTTAAAAAATATTATTATTTATATCTTATATTGAAAGATAAAGGTTTTATATTTAAAAAAAATATTAAGTTATTTCAGAAATAATCATAGTAAAAATAGAACTATTAGAAAAATAGAAGACCCTGTTAGTATTAATATCAGTAGTGGTTGCAGTTAATAATAGTAGGTGAAACCCTCAGGGTCCCCAAACTGTGTTTGACCTGTGACCCCTCAATTCCTAAGTCAGTCCTTGATTATTAACTTGTATTGCATTTATATATACATATCTGGCACCCAAAAAGTGCTGTAATTGTGCACCCAACACTGAGTCCAGAAAATTGATTGATAAACAGGAATTGTTAGACTTTTTGGTTAAGGTACATTACCAAATGTAGAAGGTAAGACTACATAGTTTAATTATAGTATGTGACTAAATTAAAAATATCTCTTAGGACAGTGTTTGCTATTGTTTAAGGAAATATTTCATAAAGTCTATTTGTAAAAATACTAATAAAAAATGATGCAGTGAATTGAAATTCCAGTGTTTTATACAGAAGCTTTATATAAAATCAGGTTCAAGCTATTTTATTTTTAACATAACCTATGGACAGCAAGGTACTGTTTGGTCCTTCAAAGCTGTCCTAACTTGCACACCCATCTTTGAAAAGAGTAAACATTTAAACCCATCATTTAATAGAATTGTTGATTCCCTTCTGAAACTGCTGTAAAGTGCTGGCCAATGAGGATTCACTCCATAAGTCATCTTTGCTGTTGTAAAATAAAAATTGTCTTACTTGAGTTTAGCCTTTTTTTCCAAGTCGTAACTTTTATCATCATCTCCTGTTATTTTCAGAATGTATTGAAAATATATCAATGACTTTTATTCTGTCTATCTTATATAATCTTCTAAAGTTAAGTAATATCACCTTATTTTCTCAAAAGAAAAATAAGTTGATAGATTTTAATCTATCTCTATAAAACAGCCCTTCCATACCTGGAATCAATTAGTGGCAAGACTCGCAAAAATATTTGTCTAATCAAAATTAATGTTTCAGAGTATTACTATTTTCATTTATTGAATGTTGAATGTAATAGGTTAATGAGCCCAACATTAATCACTTAGTGAATTCCACTAATTGCCCAGGTCTAGTTATAGGTATTTATTTGATATTTGTATGCTATAAATATATTATATTTATAAAACAGAAGTAGGAAAGAGTTCCATATGGCACCCCCACCCAAAAATTGTAGAATTGCCTGGATAAAAAAGATTCTGAAAAGGGTTTATGTTTATCTGACCATTAGCCAATACCAAACATTGTTACTATTTTATACGAAACATTTTTCATCTAACCATTACCCAATACCAAACATTGTTTGTCTAACCATTATCCATTGAGTGGGGGGTGCCATATGGAACTCTTACCGAGAAGTAAACACTTGTTGTCCTTTTTTTTAAGTAGTTAGTTATATGGACATGGAGAACGAAAAAAAAGTGAAAATCATGGAGTTGGGGACCCTTTTGCGATCTGTGCTTCAGAGTTCGAAAGGAGGAATTATTGCTGCCAATTTAGAAAGTAAGTATTTTATTTTCTTTGTAAAGATATAGCATTTCAAAGTTTTCATTAATTCAATTTTCAATAATTTATAAACTAATGTTTGCTACTACTCATTCTATTAGTCTTCAGCTTTCTTTCAAAGTAAGTTCTATTTACAGTTTTCATTGTTTCAAGGAATAACGTAGAATATTTTTCAGTCAATCAATCATAAGGTTTCTTTCTAAAGTACCTTTTACTTGCATTTTTAGGAATGAGCTTACAAACATTTCTGTGCTTGTATCTTCAATTCCCCCTCCCTAATTTTTACTAATCTAGAAATTTTAAGCGTTTCCCATTGAAAGTTTCTTTACTGCTCTGAATACCTTAACCCATTAACTGTGGCAGGAGCAGCTCAGTTGCCGTTTTCTGACTCACAGATAAAACTGAGTTGCCATCAATCACATTGTAATGGTAATTTTCGTCATTCGCATAAAGTTATAGTTATATATGTGCGACTGACGAATATTTCCATCATTCGCAGCTGAGCCATAGAACTTCAATGATGGAAATATCAATCATCCACAGTTAATGGGTTAAGATATAAGGTACATGAAAAAAATTATTTTATAAATATTGAAAAGTACAGTGGTAAGCATAATATATTTTAAACTTAATTTGGGTTATTCTGTAAATCTTGAACCACATTTTAATAAACATTATTGCTTTCTCTTTTATTTTCATTTTCTTTTACAAATAGTTAAGGATATGGATCAAGGTGTACATAACTATAATTTCCCCCTTTTTGTATTTTTCTTACATTTGTTTAGCATACTTTATTACTATTATTATTAGAGGATTATGCTGATCTTGTGGGTGAGCCAATTCCTTTTAAACAGTTGGGTTATTCTTCACTAGAGGACTTGTTCCATGATTTATCTGAATTCATCAAGGTTTCAAGGTAAAACAAGGAAACTTTTTCATGTATTTCTTTTTATATGATTAATATTAAGATTGTAGGTCTCTTTAACCTTTGAAATTTTTGTATGGCTTGTGAAATATACTGTTGCCAGCAAAAGAGAAACTGATCCATATAACTATTCATTTTTTAATGATTGGCTTGTACAAACATTAAAATAAACAATCAGGGACTGGAGGGTATAAGATGTGTATGGAGATAAACAATAACCATATGCAAAACTTTTCAATGAAGTTTAAAATGTGATCAGACATGAAGCTATCTGAAAAGCAACAACTTGGATATTAATGTTGATTGAGGATCATGATCATATAAAACAGCTTTTTTTTGGTAGCAGAAAGAAGTTTTATTGACATAAAATACACTATTTGATTGTAATGGTAACATGAAGATGACTTGTTACTATGAGTCACAACATTTGTTTATGCCAACAAAACAAGTTTTTTTCCCACAAATAATGTGCAAATTATATCAAAAACAGCTGTTAAACCTTCAAGTAAGCATTCAGAAAATGAAGGAATAAAAAGAAACTTGTGTTTTCACTGGCCTATCTTGGAGAAAAGCATAACAAACAATGTGAGACTTAAATGAATAGCAGACTAGACGGATCACTTAACTCTAAGCATATGAGCATGGTCAATTTGACTGACCTTATAATCAGAATGAAACTATATATACTATAACTGAATAACTGAATGTACTAATTTTATGTTCATAACATTTTTAAAGCATTTATTAATTTTATGTTGTGCATAAGAAATTGAATTTTTTAATAAAATATTTTACTAATAATTTGTCTTTGAATTTATGAAGCCTTTATTGAGCTAGTCTGGGTCATGCTAAGAAAAAAAACTTTTAATTTTAGTTTTCATATTTTGCCTACATGACCTCTAGAACCTCTTAAATTTTCTACCTGAACATTAACTGTAGCAAAATAATAAATGTACAATGAAACAAAAACAATGAAACTTTTTTCTAGAATTAATGCAGATTGTATCATACATTAATTACTTATCTTAACAGCCTAACCTTCTAACCTTTTTACATCTGCTTTCTTTTAATTTTGTGATTTTATTATTTATATACTGTATTTTTAGGCCCTGTGCATGAAAAGCAATAAATAACAATGGGTTATTTCAATTATGGCTTAGGATAAGCAAATGCTTGAAGCAATAACTTTACTCAGCACTCATCAAGCTTTCCTTGTGATCTATAATCTTGTACATTACAATATGCTCTCTTTATTGGTTATAAACATATCCATTAGACAAGTAGGTGTAAATGAATTATTGGCTTGAAATGTTAAGAAAAGATGAGAGGGGGGCTTCTCTGGTAGCTTTGACAAATATATATGTATATACATATATATATGTGTGTGTGTGTGAAGGTAGGAGGTTCGTATTTGATGTTTTTCTTTTCAATAAGTGTAGTTTGTGTTTCTGAGTGGTTAGGCACCATAAAAGCAGTTACTTAATTTATCAAGACACATAGTAGTGGGCAAAACAACCTGCTGCAGGATACTGTGTGTTATTAACAAGGGTGGTAGTTAAGTGATTTTCCACAGCTTCACCTAAGAGTAAAAGTGGGGGATTTTTAGTTTTTGTCATTCAGATTAAAGAAGGCTGACTTAGAGCAGCAAAGGTGAAAGGACAAGCAGATTCATAAGTGTTGGTTAGGCCAAACAAACTAGATTAGCAGTTTCTAGCTCAAGTTTTCAAAGGAATCATATGGGTGGATGGTTATTATTTCATGCTAACTTTTAAGCACAAATTTGCTAAGTTTTATGAAATTCTTCTACTTAAAGAGTGTTTAGCATCATGTGATATTACTTAAGCAATTAGAGGAAATAATGATGCTTGATACAGCTGTACCAATTGCATGGTGGTGATAACAAGAAACTGTTAATATAAATTCCCTGATGTTTGTATAAAAAGAAGTTATTAACAATGTTTTAGAGAGGAAAAACTACCACCATATATTTTAAAGAATCTGTTTGGTTCTGTAAAGTAATGATCTGTTCTAAATAATAGTGTTGCAATCCTAAGGTTAATGTTGGTTACTATAAAATATCATTTTCTTACTTTTTGTGGTTTGTTGGTGTGTATTGACAAAAAGTCATATCTAATCAAAAACACCTTAGGTGTGAAAAAAAAGGTACGGCCAAAAAAGGATTGAGTGTGCAACTTAAAGGAATGAAATCAAAACTGGCAATTAAACTAGTAGCTACACTTATAGCATTGATAAGAATTTTACAGCAAATATTCATTCATTAGTTAGCTAGGCCACATATTTTGTTTTACCCACCAAATAATGCAGCCTGGCTAACTAATGAATGAATATTTGCAGTACAATTCTTATCAATGCTATAAGTATAGCTACAAGTTTGGCTGCCAATTTTGATTTCATTCCTTTAAGTCACACACTCAATCTTTTTTCACCACACATTTAAAACATTCAAGAGTATGACTTAATTCAAGTTGATATGTTAGATAAGTTGAACATTTCTTTGAAAATTAGCTGTTATAGAGTGACTTTAACTTTTTTATTTTTAGAACACCATTAGGTGAACTTAAACTACAAGCTGTTTGTGATTTATCTACAAGACATATTGCAAATCTTGTTGCTCGACAGAAAGATTCTAAGTCAAAAGCTTCACTTTGTAAAGAGGTGTGTGCTACTCATTAATTTTTCTTTAACAATTGGTCATTATTTATAAAGACAGTTTACAAATTTCACTTTTGGTGATGTAGTTTTTGTTGTGATTATCATTATTGAAAGCATGTTGAAATTCAGTTGAACGAAACCTAGATTCATCCACCAAACGTTTTCTTCATCTATATACCTTTTATGATTATATTATTAATTTTGTAAAGATACATTTTGCAACTTATGAATATGAGTCACTCTTATAGAGTTTGAAATAATGTTTGGCAATTTAGTAAAATACTGATAAAATCTGGAAAACGCAGACAAAATGTAAGGAATTTCAGTAAATTTTCTTAGTAAAACAGCAGTTAAAAACAATTTAATGAAATTATTTATAGTTGAGATATTTTTTTAATTTAAACTAAATATGATAAAGTTAAATGACCTGATACTATTAAAGCTTTAAAATATAAGACAGCAGGGACTGCTGTGACTCATAAAAAGTTGGAGCCCAAAAAATCACCAACCTCATAAACCTGCCATTTTTTCAAACCTGGAGCTAATTTAATTATGTTATTACCTGTTGAACTTACACTTATATGGCACGTATGAGCAAATTGAATTGAATATTTGTGATTTGTATTTGCACAATAAACAGATACTGTGTTGTAATTATGATGTCAATAAAACATTAATGTTTAAATTTTATTGCCTTCAAATGTGGACACAAAAAATTGCCAAATGCTAGGTTTTGTTGATGAAAATGTAAAATAAAAAATAGTGTGATTTTGACAAAGCCCAGGGTGGCCCCCAATATGAATATGCATATCATAAAATAATTTCTTGTTAATTATATTTGAGTCAACCAAATAGGGCAAGAATTCTATATTGTGTAAAATATACAAGGTAAATAGTACACATAATACTGTACTTTCAATCACTGTTTTGAAACAGTCTTAACTGCCATAAGACACTGTATGAACAAATAAGCTGTATTATAGGTGTAACTCATTTGTGTCAGTCATGTAATTATTGAAATTTTATTCTCTTTTAATCCTCCAAGATGTCAGAAAGTTCTGTCTAACATGGGTATATTTAATTTTTATTTTGTCTAAACTTATTATCCATGGTACAGAGGGTAAGTGTAATTTCATAAGGATATTGTAGAAAATCTTCATACTTTTGCACTGATTTGTTTTATTGACTTTGTTTTTGTAGGTGATAAGAAAACCACAACCAGTGATAAAATATTCCAGATCTTTGGCAAGTAAAAGTCAATCAGTTTCTCCAATTGCAGCAGGAAAGTATGAACCTGAAACTCAGAAAATTGAATCTCTTTGTTTACCCCAGGAAAAAGGTAAGGATGTGTTAACATGTTCTTAAACATAACTGCAGGAGAATCTTAGGAAAAATAACCATTGGATAAAACTTTACTTCAAAAGAAAAATGATAAAGAGTAAATCAAATATAGTACCTGAGAAAATTAAATACAATAAATAGAATTACACAAGAAAAACATTCTGTAATACTTAATTCACTAGGGTATATATAGTTTCAAGATAAACAATATTTTGTAGCCTATTCATCAAACAAAGTTTAAAATACTTTCACATCTTATAACATTTTTAAAAACATGGTAATTTTCAGAATCTACATTTGAATGCTGTTTGAAATATTCTTTACATTTTATACATATATAATCTCACAACAACTGACAAAGCTAGTAAGTAGAAAAATTCTAAAATAAATGGAATCTGATACATACTCTTTATCTGCTTTGCTCTTCTTAATATCTGCCTGGTGGTTATGGAGCATGAATCACAATCTGTCGGTCATGGATTTAAATCTCATCACTAAACATGTTTGCCTTTTCAGTTATGTGGGCATTATAATGTGATGATCAATCCCACTTTTTATTGGTAAAGAGTACAAGAATTAATAGTTAGTGGTGCTGATTAACTGCCTATCCTTTAGTCTGTCACTTCTAAGTTAGAGAAGGTTAATGCAGATAGCCTTCGAGTAGCTTTGCACAAAATTAAAAAAAATCACAAATTTCTTAATGAAAAATATGATAATTAGTGAGAAGAGGCAAGATATTCCTCAGGCTTACAATATTACCAAAATTGCTTCAAGTTTCAACAAAATTGTAGATAGAAAAAATAAGATTAGAAATTTGCAATGTTGTACAATGCCTAAGGTTGCAAAGAATTTGGAAATTTGTGCAAGAAAAGTGAATCAATTTACACAGCAGATGTTTAATTCTATTATGGGTTTCAAGTCAAAAGCATTTCAAAGTAGAATCATTGATCTGTCTTTTTTCTCTCCTTTTTTTATTATGCAGTGGAAAAGAAAAACATTTGCAGTCATATGTGAGTTTAATATTTTTTTTAGATCTAAATACTAGGACATTATGAATCCTATTTAAAAGAAGAATTATTTTATCTCAATGAATAAACTTGCTACTTTGGTCTCTGTTTATCATAGGGTTAGTTTGTAAACCTAGAAAGTCCTTTGTTGCTTCCTGCTTAGATTATATTAAAGTGCATAATGCCTAAGCTGACTCAAAAAGTTTTATTCTAGAAAAAATGACAAGCATTTTCAGTTAGCTGTTTTTCAAAGTTAACTTAATTTTTTTTCCAAACAAACCAGAATTATTTATTAAACTCAGTCTCATATAACCAGGTTCCTTGGTACACAAAGGCATTACGTGGTTCTGTCATCTACCATTATCTCAGAGGCTTTTTTGTTTTACCTTATTGTTCTCAGATTTTGTGGTTTATGCTAACCTGTCCATGCTCTACTCAAATGTCCTCATCTTCAATTCTACAGCTACAAGTTCTGTACTTATCAGCAGAGATTGTGTGTTGTAATCAATTTAACCTGGCAAGCTACCGCTGTGACATTGAGAAAGTGTAGTTAAAATGCTATTATACACATTTCTTGCTGGAAATCACTATTGATCCAGTGAAGAGGGATGTAAGTTAAGTTATCAGTCTTCTTGTCATACCTGTTACCAACTAAATTATTGTGAAAATCATTTCATATCTTGCTGTGTAACATATTCTGTAAATTCTGAATGTGTTACTGTGAAATCTCTCTTCTCCCTAACCATGTTAGTTTCTCTTGAGATTATATATGTATGTACATATTTATGTAATATAGGATACAATTTTCTTTATTATTCTGAGCTACCAGGTTGTACCTGCTTTTCCATGATAAAATATTCTGTAGTATTGTTAACTAACCATGGTGTTTGTAACTTTCAGGTGATAATGAAAGAATGTTCATACCAAAATTGTAGATTTCAATCAGAATAATTGTTGTGTAACCCAGCATTTACCAAACTTTTGTCAATCACCACCCTTTAATAAATATGGTTTTCTTCTGTGCCCGTTCTCTTTTTGTTTTTTAAATGAGTGGAAGAGTGAGTCAAGTGACAAAATATAATACACAGGAACACATTCAAATTCTGTATGTGTTCTAGTAATTACTTATTATTTTCATTAATAAAAGTATATAATATGCTTAATTTTGCATTATAGCACTATTGACTCTACCCTAATAACTCATGCCACCTCAAGAGACCATTTGAGTCCTCATACTTTGGGAAATGTTAGTGTAATCTAATAATGTTCATTTTTTGTTTTATTTATTTAAGGGTAAGATTGGGTCTGTAGTTGCTTACTTTGTAATTTTAATTCTCAGGGCACTTCAAGAAGTTAATTGAAGATTATGCTAGAAGAAAAAATATTTCTTGTCCCGTGTATCGTACGATTCCTATCAATATACCAGGAAGGAAACGAGGCAGTTTCTGGGCTTGTAGCATTCAGTTTAACAAACAAAACTTTACGTCTTATCCTACTGGCAAACCAACCAAAGAGCAAGCTGAAGAAGCAACTGCTAAAGTAGTTTTAGATAGCTTACTTATCAATTCAGAGAATGATGTGATTAATCCTACTGCTGCTTATCCTACAAGGTCATTCAGAAAACTGTCTCCCACTCAACGTAACATACAATCTGTTGATGATAACCTTGTTATAACGATACGAAACAAGTAGTTTAGAGTATGAAAGTTTTAAGTCGAATATAATATGGTGTGGTAAGGTTCTATAAATTTTTCATAGAGAAATAGTAGAAACGTTAAGAAATTTGGTTACCAAGTTTAGTTTTTAAGAAGTATGTACGTGATGTGTATCCATGCCCCTAATCAGTTACTTGTAAGAAGGGATTTTTTTTTAAAAACTAAACTTTGCTAAAAAAAATGCTTCTTGAAAGAAATTTTTACTTAAACATATTGCTGGAATGATTATAATTAAAAAAGAATAGAGAAAATTAAGTAAATACTTTTTATTCTAATGAAAACTGTATGTTGAATTTTAATAACTATCCTGTGTAGATGACAGTTGTGTTTTTAATACTATAATTTTACTTCTAGACATTACTTGTATGTGATTTGGGGGCAGCTTTTCAAATTTTTTTTGATGGTTTTGACATACCAAACTTTAAGGGTAGAAAAACCCTTGGGGATATTTGTGGTGATATTTTTTATGGTTTTGAAGTGTAACATCAAGTGATTTCAGAGTGTCTTTATGTGAGTGAATGTGTGTTATTCTTATGTCTTCAGTTATTATTTAGTTGTGTGAACAGAAATGTATATGACAAAAGTGATCTTTTGCTAGTGATCATTACTTTTCCGTACCACATATTTTTAGTAGTCAAAGTGTGTTTAATAATGTACTTGGAATACAAAATGATTTCAGAGTGTCTTTATGTGAGTGAATGTGTGTTATTCTTATGTCTTCAGTTATTATTTAGTTGTGTGACCAGAAATGTATATGACAAAAGTGATCTTTTTGCTAGTGATCATTACTTTTCCGTACCACATATTTTTAGTAGTCAAAGTGTGTTTAATAATGTACTTGGAATATCGGAAAACTGTTATGTAAATTCAAAATTTCAATCTGTTATGGTTAAAATGTGTTTAATAATGTTATGTGTTTAATAATGTACTTGGAATATCGGAAAACTGTTATGTAAATTCAAAATTTCAATCTTATGGTTAAAATGTAGAAACAATTAAAAGATTTTTCTAGTACTAGAAAAAAAAATCCATATTTGAAAATAATTTATAATAAATGTTATGTATGTGTATATTTTAATAATTCAAGTTCATAAATAATCAATTCTGGAAACAATAAAGAATGAAGATCTTATTTAATGAAAGCTTAAATATCAAAGTGAGATGCTTTCTAATGGCCATACACAGGACAATTTGTCACCACATGTATGATTTTATACAAAATTCAGAATGCTTATGTCTGAAGCAGCATCCTTCTGAAACACTTAGTTTTTTTTTTTTTACTTTTAAACGCAGTTTTTGTTTTGTTTAGCATCTGATTTGACTTTATTTGGTAAAGAACTTTCACAAGGTGTCATCCTACCGAAACCCTGCTGTCGTGACATACCATTAGTATCCCATTTTCCACAATTTCAACACAAGTTTGTTCATGGATTTTTAATAAAAAATATGTGATAGACACATGAAATAAACTGGTGAACTCAAAAACATAAAAAGGGTCTATAAGATGTGGCTTGAGTATGGCTCAGTGTTTAGCATGCCTCACTGTCTATCTATTGCCTGTGTTGCCTTGCCACAAAAATAAATAAGTGAAATCATGCTTCACACTTCAGGGCTATGGGTGTATTATAAAATAATGGTCAAAATTCCCCTTTTTGTCATACAAAGGTTAGTTGCCAGACTTCTTCCTTGGAAAGCTGAAGTTCCCATTTGGAAACAGTAATAATTCTGCTTTTGTCAGCAATCCTGCAGCAGATTTATCATGTTGAACTGATAGTTTTGATGTTGATTCAGGGCTGGGAATATACCTGTTTGATTGTTTTGACTGTTACACGTGGCTCAGTTGTATTGAATGTTCTTGCTATCAAATTAAGGAGAGTTACTTGTTTCATTTTCTACAGTGGAAGCACTCAAGTTAAAGGAAATTAAATTTTGTGTTTTTGACATATTGACAAGAATAAAATCTACTTACTAGGTGTGATGTTACTTAGTTAAACCAACTACAGATTCTTAGACACTATAAAATAATCAATAAGGATTAGCCTACATTTGATCATTTGTGGTATTCTTATATGAACTTGTATCGTTGCAAGCATTAAATAGGTCTGATTAATAATGGGAGGATCAAACAGGAAAAATTTATTTGAATTTGATAACCTGACTGATTTTTAAGCTGCAGGAGAAATTAACAGACTTGGCACATTTGCCGGATAATGAAAACAATCTTTATGAAAGGCAACAAAAAGAAAAGTGTGCATACTTATGTAAACTAATGGATGATCACCTCTAGTGGATTAGTGAATTGGTCAGTAACGTTTTCTTTTAGAAAAGATCTTTGTTGAGATAAACACCTGATAACCAGATAGAACTGAGAAAAAATTTAGAGTATGATCTAGCAAGAAACCTCATGTGCTTTCTTTGGGATAGCATCACTGCATGACTGGTCATTCTCCCACAGTATTTGTCAGCAGTAGCACAGACATTATCCACTCTGCCAGAGAAGGACATTGCAGTCAATGTGTTTTGCAACATCCTCTCAAGCAGAGTATCTATTATCTGATATATAGAAGTAGAACAAAACAGTTTCATTGGTTTTCTAGACCAGGTGTTCCTGTCAAAACTGCATTGAAACAGACAAAATGAAATATTTTTTCATTCCTATATCATTCCTATCACACTTTTCCCATTATCTCGGTTTCAAGCTTGACCTCAAGTCAATAATTAAACTTAAATCTAATAAACTCTAAATTTGAGACATGTTAAAGAAGCATGAATATATATATATATATAAAATATATATTTACACACACACATGCATACATACAAACACCATGGTGTCTGAAATGTATGGAATCACAGGAACCATAGGCACTGCAAATAATTTTACAGAATGTGTTCCACATGCTATCCTTGTAATTTGAAACAAGTTTGGAGATGGTATTATCATTTTCTTTGAACACTGCAAAACATATTTCTATCATTGTCTATGGGCTGACACTTGTTGCAAATAATTTTACAGAATGTGTTCCACATGCTATCCTTGTAATTTGAAACAAGTTTGGAGATGGTATTATCATTTTCTTTGAACACTGCAAAGCATATTTCTATCATTGTCTATGGGCTGACACTTGTTGCAAATTTGTTTTTCATATGTTGCCCCTGAATTTTCTCCTCTCTCTCTGGATGGCATGCATTAAACTTGGCAGCAACCTTCCACTGGGACCAACCTTTTTGAGCTTTGACAGTGCAATAATCAGTCACATACATGAAATTAATAAAAGCCGAAAATCCCTTATGGTTCCAGACTTTTTGGACACCCTGTATATAAAAACAAGTAAAAATAATGTATATACACATGCACCAAAGAAAGACTTCAATCCCTTCTATCTCACACATGCCATCATACATGAGAAAGCAATTACACCTTATAACATAAAAATGAAATATATATATTTTATGTGAAATTTATATGTATTCAATATACCACAAAAACTGCTAAGCTTCTGTCTTTCATACACATTATTAGCGAGTGTGAAATGTATGAGGCACTCTTAACTTAACATACAAAATACATAACAGAAAAATATTCAAAATACGCCAAAAATAATTAAGGCTGTATCTCCCCCCTCCCAAGCACACTCCTGTGTAAAAAATAGAACATCAACCTGCACCTAGAACTACAAAATCAGGCATTGTTCATAGAGTATGAACCCTAAGAACTTCCTGATCCACAGACTTCTATAGGTCTCCAATTGGCCAACTAACTCTGTCTGTGCTGCCCTCTGTTCTCCCTGGTATACAATAGTTAATAGTTTACCTGTTAAAAAATATTTCAACTTGCGTGAGTAGAAAAATTCTATCACAACAAATAAGTTAGGTATTCCAAATTTATGTTTGCTATGATATCTAATTTACTGTCTGAATTTCACTTACTACTAATAATTCCATCTACCCATGAATATTTTAAGTTGATCCAGTTCGAATACCTTATGTTCATTTTGAAAACCACCAGCTAAAACTGTCTTCTTTTTTTTTTCTTCTCTATTTAAACTGTAGTGTGAGTCTTATTGTTACTTTTATCTCTTCAGTGCAAATTCACTAACTGCCAAATATTGTAATGTCAAAATCAAAATATTTTCTTACTTGTAAAAATGGAATCAAAAGGCTCACTGAATCTTCCAATAATACATTCCAGATTAGTTATCACAGTTAATTTCATACTCATCAATTCTTAATGTCAAGATCAAATCCTTTGTTTTAATGCCCTAGTTGCTTTTTATTGTTGTGTTCTTTGTGTAATTGATTCATTCTTAATATAAAACACTTGTGAATGACTACGTAATGCTACATGTGAATAGTTTCATTACTGTCAAGTACTCTAGTAGTTTATGCTACCACATGAACAACTTCAGTAATGCTAGGTTACCCACAAAGCTCTACATAGTAGCAATGGTGGTGTCTCTCAAACACTACTTATTTGTATTTCAGACCTCACAAAATAAATTATCACTAGTAAGATTCAGATGAATTAATCTTTTTGAACTGAAAGTCTTAGCCAGGATTAAAATTCATACTGTACCTGGCCTGGTGGTTAGGGCACCCAACTTGCAATTTGTGGATTATGGGTTTGAATCACCTTTGTCAAATATGCTTGTCTTTTCAATTGTGGGGGCATTACATTATTATGCTTAATTTCATTATTTATTGGTAAAAGAGTAGCCCAAGATTTGTTAATGGGTGGTGTTGACTATCTGCCTTCCCTCTAGTCTATCACTATTAAATTAGGGACAGCTGATTAGGCCTGGTGGTTAGGGCACCTGACTTGCAATTTGTGGATTATGGGTTTGAATCACCTTCGTCAAATATGCTTGTCTTTTCAATTGTGGGGGAATTACATTATTATGCTTAATTCCATTATTCATTGGTAAAAGAGTAGCCCAAGATTTGTTAATGGGTGGTGTTGACTAGCTGCCTTCCCTCTAGTCTATCACTATTAAATTAGGGACAGCTAATGCAGCTCTTGAGAAGCTTTGCACAAAATTTAAAAACAAACTACTGTACCTCAGTCACATTCACAGGGAACACAACTCTCTCACAGAACACGAATATTTCCAGGTTAATAAGAACAAACATAGCAAGAACAGGGTAGCGTGCTCAACTAGATCATAGGAGTGATTCTCTCAAAACATTGGACAATGTTTTGCATCAGAAAATTCACACATTCTCATAATCAAGAGGTC